TATACATCACGGAGATGTAAAGGTGTACTAGAGAGTGGAAAATCCCTCACAAGCGATGTGCGCTTTTTTCATTGCATGCTTTGTCATTCGATCAGTTTGCACTCGGCCCCAGAGATAGCACTATCCTTCCACGTCGAAGCTAACTTCTTGTGTTGATGCAGCTGTCAGCTGATTTTTGACCCTGGGAGTACATCCACCAACTGAGGAAGGCATTGAGACAAATCTGTTCATAGGCATGGAAGCACCCATCGTTGTGACGATTGGGTTGGCTTCCGCCGCCTCTACCTCCCATCCTTGCACCTTCGGCAAGTCGGGTCTTCGCATGCTCCGCAGTGTGCAGCGATGTTTTCAGAGGTAAGCTGTGTCGACAGATTTGCATGAATCCATTTCATGACTTCAGTTCATTTAAGACCACCCTGGATATTAATCTTTTCGGTAACCAATTCACTGCATTTTTGTTGCAGGGAAGGAATGAAATGGCGCAAGGACACCAAACCCTTAAAGGTTCGCGCGAATGCGGTGGCGGGAGAATTCATGAATGTGAATGAGATTCGGCTAAAGTTAATCGGAAAGATTCATCCGTGGGAAAGTACGAAGCTGAGCTTGGTAATGGGAGCTACAATTTAGGCCATCAACAGGCTCATTCTCAACAGGAGAAGCATGCTGCCGTGTTGAGCTGGTGGATGGCACTGCTTGTAAGCTTTATTCTTGCCATTGAGAAGCAGAAAATTGTTTTGGACGGCGGTATGGCGCTAGATACCCTGAGGCGGGGAAAGCTGGTAGAGAATCGTGTATCGTCAGACGTTTGTGATACGATCATATGAAGCAGGTTTCGACAAGATTGCATCAATAGAGACCATTGCTAACCTTTTCCAGGTAACTTAACCTTCTTCAGAAACTCGGCTGTGTTTTTTTTCTTGGTACAAGAAATTGGGTTTCGTCGCCTCGTCGTTACGAAAGTTCATATCTGATATTGAAACCTTCAATTCGTAGGACTGCGGTGTTCAATTTGAGGATAGATCAATGTCACAAAGTCATTCTATCACCAATGAAGTGACAGAGATTCAAGTGTAAAATGACGCTGTGGAATTTGGCATTGTGCCACAGGAAACGACGTTAAACCATGTGGTGATGTCCAAATGTGTCGGGGATGGAATGGGCACAACTCATGCAATGATGCGCCACCGCTTGATTTGGGTCGTGACACGGATGCACGTCGAAGTTGACCGCTACCCTGTCTGGTAAGCTGATGCGTCAAGCTCGACCTCCGTATCAATTCTGGTTCATCTTTCTGCGGGATTTAACTCAGCTGGTCATGTTTGCAGGGGAGATGTGGTCGAAATAGACTCGTGGGTAGATGCGGAAGGCAAGAACGGTATGCGACGAGATTTCATTGTACGAGATTATACTTCTGGTGAGGTGATTGCGAGAGCTACCAGGTGTGTGTTCTAAGGTCGTGTTGCCTCCGTTGATGGTTCTCACGAGGAGACTTCTAGCTCCCTGAGCGCCTGATGGAATGCTGGTCGATGAAGTAGATTTGAAAGAAAACTAAGAGGTCTTGTCTTCCTGTAGCAATTTAGTCGCTTGAGCAGTCAGAACTTGCTTCTATGCCTCATCCTAAGCTGTGATCATCGATGCAGCACATGGGTGATGATGAATCAAGATACTACGCGACTGTCGAAGATCCCTGAAGACGTGCTTGCTGAGATTTCCCCCTTCTACTTGAACAAGAAGTGTATGCAGAGCGAGAGATGCCAAAAGATAAAGAAATTGACCAGCAGTGCACCGTATATTAGATCCGACCTCGTGGTAAATGCTAACCAAATTTTATTCCCACCACGCTCACTCGTGAATTGTTATAATTGTGTGAAAACTCTTCAATTGGAAGACCCTACTTCTCATTGAAAAGTTCCCACGTTCCTCATCTGCTCGTAACAGAATCCTCATGCCCCAGCAACATAATCCGGGTTTTGCCTGTTCCTTGTAGCCGCGCTTGAGGGACATCGACATGAATCAGCATGTGAACAACGTCAAGTACATCAGCTGGGTCTTCGAGGTTGGCATTCTAACTCAAACGGCCACCATATGACAGTCACAGCACTTGAAATGAAAGCTTCTGTCACCCTACTATGTTTGCGAGATTGAGGGGCGCCCTTGAGCTGTGATGCAGAGTGTGCCGCAGTCGCTGGTCGTTGCCCATGAGCTTGCCAGCATGACCCTGGAGTACAGACGCGAGTGCACCCCTTCCGACGTCGTTCAATCCCTTTCATGCCCGGACACACATCATTCCACATTGGGCGAATGTCGGAACGACAGTTCGTCACTTCACAGCGGTTTAGACGGCTCCCCGGACGCTGTATCCTGCTCCGAAGGCGCTCTCAAGAGCGCCACGTTCAGTCTCCCGAAAACAGGTCCCGTGCAATACACTCACCTGGTGAGAATGCAGTCCAACGGTGCCGACATAGTCTATGGAAGAACTGAGTGGAGGGTGAAAGACAGATACGCTGGAGCAAACGGAACTAAGCCGTGTGTAAGTCACAACTCATCGTGGGCTTGGCAGAAACCTACCATTCCTCACAAAAACCAACAAGTTCCGTGGCCCTGCAAGTGATGCTCTCCATCGAACTCATAACTGGCAACTGCCAAAGGATACGTCGTGACGTAGCCTAGATCGAAGCAGGTTTCTCACAAACCGTTTACATGATCTCTCTGAACGATGCCTAATCGCAGTCAGAACCCCCTGTCACGTACTGCTCCAGTCAGACGTGCACCTCATCTTTGCTCAACAGACCAGCAATTCCTGGCATCGCACGACACCACTAACCCAACAGATGTCGAAACTTTCCACATCGAGGCCGGAGACGAAGCGCCCACCTCAGTATGCACTGGAGGTTGTGAAGCTGATGCCAATTGACGCAGCATGTCGCTTGTACATGTGATCCAATGCAGAGTACATAAAATGAAAAAGAAGAAAAAGAAGAAAAAAAAAAGACATACACACAAGCACAACCAAACACACACACACACAAATCTGTCCTTGGTACGTCAACACCAAACAATCTAGAACTGTCAATAATTTGCAGACAGTCTGCCTCCGAGAGGCTGTCAACGGCGAATGAAAAGTTACATCAATGTCGACTGGAGCTTCGTTACTTCTGTAGATACTAGATGTGAATAATATCATTCATCGGAGCCTGGTCACCGTTCAGTTTGGATTAAACCCATATTCAAATGTGGGTTTAATCCAAACTGGAAATTTTATTGAGTAAAGATGATGGTTTTAGGTCATTAGGAACTACTAGATTTCAAATAAGCTTCCATGGTGACTTTTGTCGACTTTTTGGGCAGACGTAGTGTTGGGTGACCTGCGAGCGCATTGCTATTGACATTACATTGTAATTAGTGGAATAATAACGTGGGTGTGTATATATATATATATATATACATATATAGTTTTTACATTCATACATACATATATATAACGTTTTCATAGACTGAACAGGGACGAGGCTTTGACAAGCGTAATTATTCACACGTCTATGTAAAACATATATACAGAGGGTTCAATCGCCTCGCTGTTCCTATGCTTATAAACTTCATTGTTATCCGAAAATAAAAGATGCACTGGTTAGTGATTACTGTGCAAACTAAAGTAGATGTTACCACAACTAGAATTGTTTCCTAATATTACATTGAAGTTTTGCTTTAAACCTACGAATTTCAACTTGAAAATAGAAAAGATTATGTAATTGATGCTTCAAATTTCCATAATATTTTTATTTCCGGTATTAATGTTTAGTAATTTTTTTGTGTATTTCATTAATTCATCTGATGTGTAATGTTTATGAGAAGAGGATGAGAGCTCCAGTTGGTTAAACAAAAAATATATTTCATACTATAGAGATGCCTTTACTTTGAAATTGCTGAAAAAATATACAATCATTGTAATATTTTTCCTTTTATTGATTTAAAATAAAATAAAAAAATTATATATATATATATATAAACCTGTGTTGATTATCATTTTTTTTCTTTTTACGTAAGACTACCTATAGTGCATGAAGTAATAATATATATATATATATATATATATATACCCAGTAGAATGAGGATTTTTTAATACATGCTTACACTTATGTAATTGTAGGGCAAATGAAAAAATCATAAATATGCAAATATAGGCATATCTATATACAGTAGAGATGCATCACAATTATATGTGCATTGTTATTATTTAATTACGTTTAATTTTAAATTTCTTTATATATATATATATATATATATATATTTTTTAAAAGTCACGATAACAGCCCCAATTGTTTAGATACAGATCACAAGATACAATCCAATGATTTTCCAACATTGGTTAACATGAAATGGAAGAAAATAAGTTTATTAATGATATAACATCACTAGCAATAATAAAATACTATTAATTATTATTAAAATTTACTTGAAGGATAAGAGAAAAGAAGAAGAAGAAGAAGAAGAAAAAAGGGTATGAAAATGCACCATGTATTATTTAGGATTGATTTTGAATTCACGGAATCAAGCTGTGATCGCAGTTGAGTTTAGATGCATCCAGAAGAGTCTGGATTCGGTGGCCACTCCAAGCATTTCATCTCGTCCACGTGTGAACGCATTCTCTGAGATGGATATTATCCAGCCACACGTCAGTGTGAACATTCTATAATCGATGCACACAGATAGTGACAGGTGTCAAATAACGACACTTGCTGAGGACGTTTCGTGCTTGAGTCGCGGTCCTTCTCAGTACTTTCCTCCCTTACTCATGACGCAGATTCCTTCGTAATTGCTCCAACCACTAATTCACATCCATCGTGCTTCCATTAAAGATCATCAAAACCAACAGAGAACGAATTATTCATCCTGCGTTTGGGAACAGTTTAGCATCCAAAGCATTCGTCCATTACTCTCTCTCTCGGTCTTAGGACATCGACCCCCTTCAAGTTGATTCGTATATAAAGCCCTGGAGCCATTCTTTCGAAGCCATATTCAGTTCAGTTCTCGCGGACAGATCGGAGTTCAGTGTAGAGGTGTCGCGTTGAGAGTAGGCTCGAGGCAGTGGAAGAGTTTGAGTGATTTCTGCTCGTGTTTGGGAATCGTTCGAGGTTGATTGATTAGTACAATATGCAGATCTTCGTGAAGACTTTGACGGGTAAGACCATCACCCTTGAGGTGGAGAGCTCCGATACGATTGACAATGTGAAGACCAAGATACAGGACAAGGAGGGCATCCCGCCTGACCAGCAACGACTTATCTTCGCAGGGAAGCAATTGGAAGACGGGCGTACGTTGGCCGACTACAACATCCAGAAGGAATCTACATTGCACTTGGTGCTCCGGTTGAGAGGTGGCATGCAGATCTTTGTGAAAACGTTGACTGGCAAGACCATCACCCTTGAGGTTGAGAGCTCCGATACAATTGACAATGTGAAGACGAAGATTCAGGACAAGGAAGGCATTCCTCCGGACCAGCAGAGGCTGATCTTCGCAGGGAAGCAATTGGAGGACGGTCGTACCTTAGCCGACTATAATATCCAGAAGGAATCCACGCTCCACCTGGTCCTTCGATTGAGAGGTGGTATGTAGGTTTCTGCGCAGACAACTACCCTGAAGTTGTATAGTTCGGACACTGTTTGCAACGTAAGAAGGATTTATATTAGCCAAGCTACTCCTGAACAGCAACATCTTTTCGTGGACGGAGTTAGAAGTCGGCCGTACTTTGGTAGATTTCAACATGCATGAGGAAATACAACTCTTGGGTAAAGATTTGAAGAGAGGCCTGTATTAGAATCCTCGATGGGCATTGTATTCATCTAGACAGCGAAGTAATGTGACTTGAATTATCTTAAAAATTGTACAGCAATATGATTTGACACATTTTTATAAATATTATTACAACATCAGCGTGTAAACTGAATAGAACATGTAGGTGTTGGTGATGTCATTATATGGTGAGCTATACTGTGAACATGTTAATCATGAGGTTCGAATCTGTCATTTATGGAACTATCATCATTCCTGGAATTATGATGCATCAATACACTAATATCTTAAATTCCACATGTGAACATTGTAAAATATCCTGATATTATGAATGTCTTTCGCATACATTAGAACATCTTCTGCATATTGATGCATGTTTATCTACAAATACTTGCATCTAATTCCGCTATTTCGATACGTCCTTTTACCTACACCTACAGAACAGACAAGTGCAAGCACCATGTGAAATCCATAATCAAACTCTCTGCTCTAAAGTTGGCATGCGTAGGTTAGAGCAAAACTCTAGAAAATGATCGGACGCGTACCGCAAAGGAAAGATTTTGAATAGATTCATGGTGATCACTTCGTCTGACCATTGGTCCAACTGGATTACCCCGGCGAAGAAACTTAGCATTCTTCAAAGTGTAAATCATGGGTATGCCGGTTGAGAGCTCTAGTTCGATAACTTCCTGAAGTAAGTTTATCCAAATAAATTATAATTGCACGCAAGGAATTGCCGTGAGCCGCAATCAATTTATTCTTCCTAGGTCTGAGCTCTGGAACCACCTGCTCAAACATCATCCACCAGGGGACTTCAGAATAACTTTAGGAGACCGAAAAAGACGACATTACTGGAGAGATGTTCAGAGCTGAACGATGATGGAATTTCTTACGTTTTCCACGATATACTTGACAGCACGATCGGCACACATCTCCAGACTCTCTCCGTTGGGAGGAGGGATGTCGTAACTTCGTCGCCATTCTTTGACCTTGTCGGCGCCAAACTTCAAGCCTTACAATTCACCGTACCTACATGTCGGACAGGGAATATGAGTCTTATTTTAAAATTTGGTGGCAAGTCAAGGCAGAACAAATTTGAAAGGGAAACCAAATTAATCTTCCAAATTTTTACAAACACTAGTAATGCTTCTAAATCTCATAATTCTTTCTGCTAGAAATATTCTGAATATTCTTCGATCACATTTGATAATGTACGTGAAAAGAGTGCAATCGAGTAAACTGCCATATAAACTCAAATTCGTTCATTAAGCTTCCATGCTGTGACAACAGAGATGACCTCGACTGTATTGCTAGAGATTCTGCTCCATGCTTCTGCTCTCTCGCTTTCGTTATGCCAAATCACAGGCATCTAAAAGATAGAAGCCTCACTACTCTTAACGGTTTACACCACAAACTCAACACATTAACTCCCACAACATTGTACTGTCAGCCAACATGCACAAATGGCCACTTGAACGTTGTGCTCACAACATAGCCAGTCAAGGTTCAGAGGTCAGGAAGATTTAGGGGGTCACCTTCTGACGATGATACGTCATGGCGAGCATGGCGGTCATCTGAGCCGGGATGAGGCCCAAACTGAAAATTGTGTCCACCGGAGGCTCGCTAATGCGCTTGCCCGCTTCGATCGCTTCGTCCACGCCCTTCTGAGACAGAGTAACGTCCGCACGACCCGTGAAAAGATTCTTCGATTATCTCAATACCCTCGTAGTTTCGATTCATTCTCGCTGCGTGAGCTCTGACAACCCTTAGTTGAACAAAAACTTGTTTGAAAATACTTGATGACCAAAATTGAGACAAGGTACTCTTGGTCTTGTTTAAAAGCACACACGAATTTGATTTTGTTTTGGAGGCCATGAAGTGCGTAACAAGTTTCTTCAAATAGAATAAGCGGAATTGGCATCACCATTTGGCAACAACAATGAACTTCGATTTATTGTGTTCATGGCTTGAAGTTTGAAATAAGATGAGGAAAAAATAGATGAGAATGGTACATGATGGTAAGAACAAAGGTGGGTCAATTTTAGATTTACTTGGATCACTTTGATATTTTTTGAAACGTCAATTTAAGATTTACTTGGGTCTCTATAATTTTTCTGAAGGTTCTATAAAAATGAACAATTTCTTGCTTTTGCTAGAAAAAACTAGTTCAATATTTGTTTTACAAACTATCATGTATGGAACAAAAACAGCAGTATAAATAAATTAACTTTATTTAAATTACTTAACACAAAGTTGTGGCATTTATAACATAAAAAATGAAAAGCATTTTCAATACAAAAATTTTAACAATTATATATATATATATATATATATATATATATATATATTATAAAAAATCTTTATTTGTGTAAAGAATAAATAACGATTGATAAATTCAGAATAATTATGAAATTTTTATTTTATGTAGAAAATACAATAATAGAATAATAATGACTTGAAAAAATATATTTTTAACTTCTGAAAAAGCAAGGGGATTTTATACTTAGAATCCACATTAAGAGATCATAGTTCAAAAATTCTTACCAAGGTCCTCCGCTTGGTAAAAAAAATTAATTTCTTTCGAAATCCTTGGCCTTTAGATGTAGTAGAAAGTAAATAAGAAGTTAAGAAATAATTTGAATACTATTTTTATTACAAGTTAAAATATGTCAATCCATAATTTGATTTTAATAATTATGATAAGTAATATATATATATATATATATATATATATATATATATAATTGTAGCAAATTTTGACATTACTTCTTAAAGTTTTCTAAAAACCACCTCTTGAGATGAGTGAAATAGAAATTTTGTAGGACATAATTTATTCTATATAGAAATTAATGTGTTCTACCTCATCTTTTCTTTATAGAGCTTTTGGATTGATTTTTCTAAGTATAAAACTAATTAAGTAAAGCTTCTTAATTTCAAACAATCAAAAGATTTACAAGTTGTAGAATCTTATCTTATTCTTTATGAATAAAGATTTTTTGATTTTATATATTATTATTTGCTTTATCTAAAAGTCTATTTTTTTGTAGTCATGTCTCTAATGAATTTACTTTTATGATAAAGTTACAATTATATTTTTTAGAAGAAATAATATAAAATTTATAAATAGATTGAGACAATAGGTGTTCCAAGGACATAAGTTGTCATTTTTTAAAATATACATATTAAAATAAAATATAATAAAATAAACTATTACTACAATACATAGACTATTTTTCTTTCAAAAAAATAACTTAAAATAAAGAGTTAAAAACAAGCAAAGATGCACAAGAATGTTAATGAAACCCGATGCAAAAAAAATAACAAAAATAACAAAAAAAAAACAAAAAATTTGCAATGTGGTTAGAAGATTGATCCTTCTTGCACATTTTTACAACCCAAAAATCATTTACTTATATCATAATTTATCATAACAAGTCAAATTTGTACTTAACCACACACATCCACAAATAGTCAGATATTATTATACTATTATTTAATTGTGCATCAATAAAACAAATCAGCTCAATTGGATATCATTATCATCATTATTTTGTTCATTCTACTAATTACACATCATTATATTGTAAAAAGAGACACATCAAAACATCTAAACACCTTTCTAGTGTCGATAAGCAATTTTTTAGTGTCCACATTTGCACTTATCAAACTCCACTTTTATCCTCCATTCCTTTTTTCTTTCTTTCTTCTCTCAAATTATATATATATATATATATATGTATATATATTTATTAAACAGACCCATGCTTTTACTAAATAGACCCACTTTTGATAAAGAATATGGTAATCATAATGAATGTGGTTGGTTTTTATTGGTTGTAGATCCAATAGTTGAGAAATGAATTCATTTTTTATTTATTTATTTTATTTTATTCATTTCATTATGGTTAGGATGGGTGGATCAATTAAATAAAAACTCAGGTCTATTTAACATTCCCCTACATATATATATATATATATATATATATATGTTTATACACAAATGTATATTCATTGGAACTTGATACAATAGTTGCCCACAAATCTATACTTGGAAGAACATTGTCTCTATTTGCAACAGAGAAAGTGTGTGGATTTCTTGGTCGTGTGGTGCACTGGTACATTTAGCTCCAGTTTCCTTTCTTCTCCTTCTTCTATTATTCCACTTCCATAGCCATTGTAGCCATCTATCAATTCCAGCAGCACTTCCATCACTGACACTGGCGGAATCAAATCAATTTCTAGCCCTAGAAATGGAGTTATCTTTTTTCTTTTTCCGGTTTTTTCTTATTACAGTGAATATAATTCATGCGCCAGCATCATTGCCTGATCTGAGTGCGACCCTTCAGCCACAGCATTTGCTTCTCGCAGCTTTAGTTGTTGTACAATCGCCCTCAGTTTCGTCTTTTGATAGGCAAGTCGTCCATATCGCAAAACCACAGGTGCACATTACATTTCATTACATTACATTGTGTCTAGCTCTCTATCTATCGGCCATGGATTTTTCCTCACCAGTGTGTGAATTAAACCTGGAATAGGAACTCTAATTCTCTCTCTCGCTTCCGCTTATTCTTTCTTTCTAGGTCTACAAACGAAGAAGCTTGTCCCCGCAGAAGTAAGATCCTATTCAATCGGCAGCTTTCAGAGCACTGAACTTGGTGGTTAGTGCAAGTTTCATTGTCCAGCAGATGCTTGTTTCTGCACTTTTTTGTGATGTGAATCCTCCTGAAGATTTGCCTTAAAGACATTGTAGTATGTGTATTTAATAAGACCAAATCCATTCATGAATATTTGTTTTCTATACCAATTAAGTTTTCCACAAGTTTTAAAGACTAACATTACATGGGTTTTTGGAAATGTAAACAAGCAAGAAAAATATCGAACGAGCCAACCTTATTCATACTTTTTTTTTTTCTTCTTCTTTTTCTTCTTTTTTTTTAAAAAATAGATATTGAAGCTAAAGGTTATAGAAACTATTCTAAAAATTAAAAATAAAAAGTCATTTCTCAAGTTCAATTATACTCAAAATACGAAATATTTAATATCATTTTATTTGTGTTATGTAGCCTAGGCATATGGCATATTTTGACTCAATGTAACGCAAAATCATTTAATGACAAATATGGAGTGATATGTAAGTGCGAATAATGGTTTGATCAAGAATGCATGAATACAAAATGTGTCGATTTTTGTGTGTAGATGAGGCAGGATTTGGATGGCTGGAACAAAACCTTAAAGCTTTTAGACAGAATTATAATTATCATTAGATGAAACTTGAAGGTTCTATTGAATGATTGTAAGATACAGTTCCCTACCCTTTTGTTTAAAAATGCTAGGTGACTTCTTTTTCAGACATGAAAATAACTCAATTTTTTGCTTGATTGCTGAAGAGTTTGACATATTTTTAGAACTTTATATTTAGGTCGATAACGCAACCAACAACAAGAAACTAAAAACAATAACGATATTATCGATATTAATAGCATCAACGATAACAATAGGATGTTTGATTATGTCGAAAGGAACATAAAAATCGCCTAAAATGAAACAATACAAATCTTCCCTTCTTTGATTGAACAACAATGATACTGAATCTCCGCTACCGAAGCCTTAATTAAGCCATGAGGAAATCATTAATACGTAAGCCGGCTCTAAACACGGCGCATATTGATGCAAACCACCACAATAATGGAATCACAAAACCTACATAATTGCCAGCTTACTATCTGGATCAAAGACTTGGGTCTTGCTCAATCATGCGATGAAAAAACCCACCGCTGGCAAAAGAGCCATTACACAAGATCATGCGTTTTATTTTTTTAACGCTTGGCTTCATACTCCGACGCCACATGCGATGCAATAATTGTGGAAAGGGACTCGAAAGCAGAATGCAGCCTTGGTGGAATCCTGAATGAATCTACACGCCCAGCACATAAAAAAATGTATCGGCCACGGTTCGCCATGCTGACTTCGCCCCGAGATTGACGGGTTGTGTGTTTGTTCCTGATCGAAACGGGAACATTGGTTGTGACGAGGTTAAGGCGGAGAGAGTCGTCACCGCTGCGCTTTTCTGAACGATGAAGTTGTGCGCTGCACGCCACAATGCGAGAGAGAGAGTCTTCTGTATTGGAATCTGCACCAAAGTTGTGTGTTTTAGGGTTTATGCTCCCCGCACCAATCCCTAAAATTTCTGAGGCAAAAACTGCTACAATGCCCTCTTCAAATCAAATTCTAAGGCATGTTTTCATGACCCAATTTCCTTCTAATGGAAATGATCTCCTACTGATGGTGTGTCTTGATTTCCCATGATTTTCTGAAATTGAGAATTCATTTTCTGCTTTCTTTTTACGCAAACCAAATCCTTGTTATTTTTTTGAATTAGTACAAAATATAATTTTATGCTAATTTTCATGAAAAGGGTAGGATTTTTATCTTTAGAAACTACACCATCAATCTTTTATGGTGCAACGGTTTGACATTTCGTAATAGTTTGACTGTTGCACAATATCATAACATATTCCTCGTGCTACAGTAAATGAATATTGTTTCAAAGATTAATTTCATCACATAAAGTAACACAGTATATTGTTCCTGTCACTTTTTTTCTTAGAGATACAAAATTGAAAATAAAATAAAAGTAAATAAATAAATAATAATAAATAAATAAATCCACTTTTTGAAGTTTATTTATTTTTAAGTGAGTATAAACACACGTAAAGGTTTCGCTCTAATGCATCATGGATTTTGAGAATGTAAGGTCGGACTCAGTCCTACAATATGCCTTGGAAGGGATGCAACAATTATTTATTTATTTATTTATTTTGGTTTCACAATTCTCCTCCACCTTTTTTTTATACTTTTACTTACACTTTTTATTTTCTCTAGGCTCTTCCTTCTTCTTTGTCCTCCACAACACTGACACCCTTTCATTCATTCATTCATTCATTCATTCATTCATAAATGTGTCTCATGGTAATTAATTATGCATGGCCCTTGAGCACCACTGGCTATTAACTGAAGCCACAACACAACACAGAGTCAGACTGGTTGCCAGCCCAACCTCATTTTATCCATTATATAGAGATAAATTGCCTCATGAAAAGAAAAGGAAAAAACAGGGAAAGAATGAGAAAGAGAATGAAAGATTGGGGAAAAAAAAGAAAAAGAGATTACTCATTCAGTTACTTCACAACTCATTCATGATAGATGGTGGGTTTATTGATGATCAGCAACTCAAATGCTGCCTCTCTCTCTTTCTATGAATATATATATATACATATATATAGAAAAGTATAAATGGTGATTGATAGCTTGTTTAATGGTAGACAATTGTATCATACTTGGGTAATTAAAATAGTTGCCAAATTGGGGGGGATATGAAAGATTTGGGAGGTTGGCCTTATGAAGTGGTTGTTTCCATTCAAAGACTTCAAAATCATCTTCCACTTCTGTTTTCCTTTCTTACTTTGATATTTGTTAAAAAATACCATAATTTTTTTTTGCACTTTTATACTTTTAAAATAAAGAGTGTTGTTAATTTTTTTTAAAAAATAATTCAAAAAACGTTTATTTATTTATTTACATATTTTACCTTGTAGCATACATGTATATATAACAAGAAAGAAATAATTGTGCTTTTATTCACTTTAATTATCTTCTATATATTAGAGTCTTAATTAGAAAAAAAAATTATAGCAGATTATATATGTAATAGATGATAAATATTTTTTTCTACAATATATATATATATATATATATATATATATATATAAACTTTCCAAGGATTACCACAAACACAACTCTTTAATATTTTAGCCCATTGACAACTCACTCTCCAAAACTTCACACTTGGTTACATTTGTGTGCACGCCAATGATACTTAGAATGGTTCACAAGTTCCAATAATCCAGAAGGCAATGTATCTTCAAAACAATACATGCGTATATATATATATATATATATATATATATAATTTATAGAGAATGGAGTAAACTAGTCAAACGGACGCCATATATCGGAAAGCCAATCCAACGATTGATAATTCGTTCGTTCGTTCGTTCTTCGACAATTTCCTGTGGACGGCAAAGTGCCGCTGTCGGCACCTGGAGGTATTACGAGCTTTGATATGCGCAGAGTTACAGTGCTGCTGCTGCTGGTTTGAAAAGCGCCCATCTAGCTTTGCACTGATCAGATAAAAAGAAGTAATTATATATATACATATTGAATGCAGATAGCATGAAGAAGAATCACCTGGTCAGCGCCTTTCAAGTTGCTGCTGCGGTGCGACCTGGTGCATAATTGCAATGACTCCACATAGTTGCACCGACTGCGATCAATCAATTGGCGAGAACTGTGCAGGTATGCTGGAAGCAGGATCTTGAGACGCAAGGGAACTTTGAAGGCAGCTACGCAGGTAACTATTAGTGAGAGACTTCAAGGGTATGTACTGTACATCCAATAATTTATTAAATTTTTCCTGTAACACGGGCACAGTGACAGTAGACTTGACCTTGATGAGCTGGGGGTTGGGTTGGGTTGATGCTTTGGTTAGTAGGAGGTTTTGACCAGATGATATAGATCCCTACAGCTTCGCCGGATTCGGAAAATATACCTGCCCCCAGTTTATCCAGACGCGACGACCTCGTGTGAAGTCCTCTGGGAAAGGGCGAAATCGGGATAAGAATCTTATGGAGATTTTAGAGGTTGTATTGGTGCGTCGAGAGAGGAGATGGAGTTGGGGTTGTTGTCAGAATACTGCTGCGTGGACGAATATTTTCTTTACCCTTCTTTTCATTCCCTTTTCCAGTCCAATTGTAGGCCAAATTTCCATGAGCTGAACAACAAAGCTCTCTTGACAGACATAGTTTACCAGCAGAATGATGCTGGCATTCCACAAGAAATACATGGCTCTAGCACAACAAATCAGTACATAGGGTAAAGTTGCCGTATAGGGGCTGTAGAGACTAAGAGCGCTGACTGGATTGAAGCCAACAATCCCTACAGGACGCCAGTTGGATACGGTAGTTTGCTAGGCCTACGGTAGAGGGAGTGAGGAGTAAAAGCTCCGTCTGCCGGACACTGCAGTAACTTTGATTCTGCCAGATCACCAGATTTTATTCAAACCAAATATCAGGGCAAAACTTGGAAACTTTGGAATAAGAATTAAGAATCAGCGCAAGGGAAATAATTCGCTCATGTTCAAATGATTGTGGCGACCGAGCTCGACAGGACGACTTGCTACATAGCGACCGTCGATGGAAGCTCGACGTTGAGTCGCAGACCCGCGTCTATCCATAGCTGCTGTTCCTGCCCTGCTGGTCATCGTCACCGTCTCTTTACCGTGCCGGAATCCTTCAACTGACGGAGGTTTCCAAGTAAGTGTCTGTCGCTCCCGCAGCTGTGAATGCATTGCCTGAGATAGAGTGTGATGCGATTACAACACCTTGTTCGTTCGTCCAGTTAGCCCGACGCAGCTGTCTGGCCAGCTGCCAGCACAGGAATTTAGTATTTTAACCAGGTTCGATTATGGTTTAGTTTGCAAGGTTGTGAGGGCAGCGGTGGCAGACAGACAATAGCTGCAGAAATTGGAGCACAGTGTGATGGAACTTGCGGTTGTTAGAGCGGACGTGCAGTATAGCGCGGAGGTTTAACGTGCAGCTACCTGTCTATCGCGCGAGCTTAACCTTGAACATGCGTGGTGAGGTTTTGATTTTGCAATGAAGGAAGCTGTGCAATGGTTTCGAAGCGAATAAAAAGGTATTTATTTATTTATTTATTTATTTATTAGTGGGTCCTGCACGAAAGCCATTTGGGGTCACTTTCGTTGCGAAGAGTAAGTTTGTCAGTACACCTGCAGACTGTGGGCTTTCCAAACGATTCCTGAGCAAGTTCACGGTCGTAACGAACTAGTTGACGTGCATTGCGGATGGCTTAGGATTAGTGGGGCTTTGTTCTCTGAGTCGGGCTCTGCTGGAGCACCGAGCTTGTAGTACGCAGGAGCGATCCTGGCATTGTGCTGCACGTATGCGTGGCTACTCCGAGCTTCCACATTTTTTCATGTCGTTGTGAAAGGATGTGGGTGCTTCACGGTAGGCGCGTCTTTCCCCCTGGCTTGAGAACAACGGCCAGTGGGTTTCAAGAATCGCCATTCTCTTCCAGTAGTGATGTAGCTGTGCGCAGTACTGCTTTTGTAGTTATAACGTCGTCGAGAAGCGGCGCTGGGTCACTCAATTAGTTTTGCTCATAAATCGCTGAACTTGTTAATAGTGATTCTAACCTGTACAAACCTCCATGCTCAAATACTGCATTTGTGAGCTTGTGTTCTGAGTTACTTACTCTCCCGGTTACTATGTTTCGCAGAGTGGAGACCGCAAACGGTTAGTCTTGCAGCTCATGGGGAGAAGTATACATTTCAAAACAGCGAGTAGCAGCTAGGATACCTGACTTTTGTGGAGCTATGGAGAGTAGGGCAGAACTAGAACCCCATCGGTTGTGAGCGTGCGTGAGAATGATTCTAGCCAGAAACAAAACGCTACAAAACCTGTTTGCACTTCAATGAAATGCTGCTCGGAATGAAGAAGGCACGTTCCTTCAAAGAGAAATTTAGAAAGGAGGCAATCATGTCCTTAGACATTCGAAACCGTTTTGTGCTTGTCACGTCCATGCTCGCGTTTCTGACCTTAGTGCGATACTGCCGGTTCGCAAGTACCGCGGAAGGTGTTGCTCCAAGCATACATGCATCCTTGCAAATGGACTCGCCTGTCCTCTCACGGAGCGTCAAAGCACATAACTTAGTGGACGGCAGGCAAAACTATGTCATTAGACAGGCCAAAGCTGATACTATTGTCTCCAATGAGCTTGAACCAAATTTTGGAGGACCCCTCAGTACGACCCGGACAAAGGACGAAGACGCGGGGGTTGGCAGTAGGGCCCTGTGTGAAAATGGGTATGTTTACATTCTCAACGTTCCGCGAGAATTCAACGAGCAGTTGCTGAAGGAGTGCCACAAATTGAAAGATTGGAGCGACATGTGCGTTGCGCTTTCAAACGCTGGCCTTGGCCCAGCAATGGTAGACGAGGACGCGTTCATCCGAACGGGATGGTACGAAACGAATCAGTTTGCACTGGAGGTGATTTTCCACAACAAGATGAAGCAGTACGATTGCTTGACGAGCAACTCAAGCACGGCGTCGGCCATCTACGTCCCCTTCTATGCAGGGCTTGAAGCCTCACGGACCCTCTGGAACAGCGACATAAAACTGCGAGATGTTGTTCCTCTGAAGTTCGTAGAGTGGCTACAGAAGCAGCCGGAGTGGTTAGCACATGGTGGCCATGATCATTTCATGGTTGGGGGAAGGATCACTTGGGATTTCAGGAGGAAGGGAAACGGTTGGGGTAACAAGCTGCTGAACCTCTCGCCCATGCAGAACATGACCACTTTGGTCATTGAATCGAGCACATGGGATACTAACGACATGGGCATCCCTTACCCCACCTATTTCCACCCATCGTCCTACTCCGAGATCGAGACATGGAGAGAGAAAGTGAGATCCTTCCAGAGGAATGTGCTATTTTCTTTCGCCGGAGGTAAACGAAAGGACATGCCAAAGTTGATTCGTGGGCAGCTGATCGACCAATGTCGAAAATCGCCTTTTTGTAAGTTGCTTAGCTGCGACAAAGGTGCCTGCCAATCACCCCAGCCTGTGATGAAACTGTTCGAAGAGTCGCAATTTTGTTTGCAGCCCCAGGGTGACTCTGCAACTCGCAGATCTATCTTCGATTCCATGCTGGCTGGCTGTATTCCTGTCTTCTTCCACCCGGACTCGTATTCTGGCTACAGTTGGCACTTGCCTAAAAACCAATCGGAGTATTCCATCTTCATTTCGGAAGACCTGATCCGCTCAGGGGATTTGACCGTGGAAAGTGTCCTGCGGAGAGTTTCAAGTGAGGCGATTCAACAGATGCGAGATAAGATTCTCGAGCTTATTCCTAACTTCGTGTACGCTGATCCTCGCATGTCCATCTTGGAGGAGTCGACTGACGCGTTCGGTATTGCGATGAAGGTAGTCTGAACCTCATTTAACTTCATTTTTCTCGCTTTAGTTTCATGTCATTCAGAGGGAAAGTGTTGTTGTTGTTGTTGTTGTTCTTGTTTTTTTTTTTTTTTTTTTAATAATTAAAACCTCGCATTTGATAGAGAGCTGAGGCATTCTTATGCTTGAAGATCGCACTCTCTGGGAATTGTCAAAGAGTAAAAGTTTTCCTTCAATCTGTTCTGAAGGCTCAAACCATGTGTTGCAGGGAGTATTGGAGAGGATATCTGAAAAGAAACGGACTCTGGCACAGCAGTTCTGAGATGCTGAATCAGTGGTAGCTCAAGATTAATTGTTTCAGAATAACAGAGCGTAGGTATTCGGAGGTTGTTGTGCGAGGAAAAACTAAATGTATATACTATACGTAGAGTAAATTTGTATTTGACCTCACCGCCTGATTTGCTCGAATCACTGTTTGTGTCTTGCACTGTACTGTACTGTAGGAACTGGTACCAGACTGTTATTCTTCTCACGTCTGTAGTCTTACCCTGCCGAGTACACAGCTATGAAGGTAGATCAGGCTGCAAGCTGGAAACTCCGTCGTAGCACCAAGCATTTCTTGAAAACATTAAATACATAAACATTGAAGTACAAAACAACTTGTAGTATAGTACAACACGATATGTCGCTACCCGTACCTCGAGTGCATTGGCAGGCCATGGCTCCATCCTCAAGCATGTGAGATTCAATACACTGCCTCTAAGAAACAAACTTCTTCGTCCACGATGACAAATCGCAAACCCCTCCCGGTCGGAAATTAGTGTCCGTAAGTGCAGTTCCCCAAAGTATTTTAACTTCAGCTCAAAACGCCGAATACGTGATCTACACATGCACCGAGAACAGTATTCGTATCCCCACCAGATAACGAAGATGGACGGATGGAGCTCTCACCGGGTACACCCGACTGGCCCCATGTGACGTCGCTGACGACCTACCTCAATTAACTAACCTCGACAGCTCCTCGCCCTGAGAACCAGGTGGTTCGTGGGAACATGTCAGCGTGAAAAGCTTTCGCAGCTTGCGCATGTCCTTGGCCCCCAGCCTTTGCGATCCATCGTATATTGGGGCAGTTAAACTGGTCTCCTACTTCAGGAAAACGTGATAGTGTGCGACCTTTCTCTATCCCCATGGGAGCACCATTCTACCCGCACCAGCTGCAAAAGGGTACTCGACACGGAATTAACTCCTGCACACACACGAGGTCAGACTGACGACCATTTTCACACTTCCTCCTCTGACATGACACTGTACACGGCTCTGGTAACTGCATAACTTCAGTGCGACGTCGTCGCAGTACCCTCTGCAGAAATCCCACCGAGACTCAACTGGAGATGAGATCTATGCTCAGGAAATACCACCGCACCGCTGATCTGTGCACCCATCTGGCCCCCCATGATCCGCTTCCGCCTGGCATACACTCATCCATAGCTTGCACACCATCATGCTTTTGTGCTCACCGCTTCGATGCACCACACTTGCATGCAAAATATTTTCCCTCACGTCCATTTTTTACTGTTGCAATCTGAACCTGAGGTCGGTGCTTTTTCTTCGTTGTTCCGGGCTTGTTTCGATTCCTCCGTGTGTTATAACTCTGTTGTCTGTGTGTATGTTTCTGTGAGTGTGTTGCAGTATTGTCTCTAGCTTCTCGGATATAATAAGTATCCTTCTTGCATTTTGTATTGCAATGGGGAGAAAAAAAAAACACTGGGGGAAAATAATTGAAGTAGAGTTGTTTCTGTGTTTGAGGGTATGAATAATATGATACATTGGGCCACTCTTCTGAATTTGTACACGGAAGTTTATATTGTTTTTACTGTTTTTGGTTTGTTTTGTTTAGTTTTGTGAAGTTGTTCTCTTTGTTGTTCAAGTTCTGTTAGGGGTTTGTTTCATTGTTTAGGATGCTATGGTAGGTGGCATTTGTGAAGTATGATTTCATTATTAGTTTTATGAATAAATACACTCATGTATTTTCTCATTGAAATGTATGAAAAAACTGGCTGTTGTCATACAGAAATACAAATCTGTGTGGGTATTAAGGTAAAAAATCAAAATGATGTAAAATAATTAAGAAATGTAAATAGAAAAAATTGTTAATTTAAGATTGCTAAAAAGAGAAATTAAAATGTAGAAAAGAATATTTCAGCTTCACTAGTAAAAATGAAAGAAGGATAATTGAAAGAAAAAGAAAATATCAACACATCACTTATAAATGATATAGATATGTTCATTATTTTATTTTATTTTTTATATTTAAAATTATAGATTTATTAAAAATACTGCATTACTTGAAGTAAGTAGAATATGGTTGGCATAAAAATATAGAAATAGATCTTATACATAATAAGGAGAATGGTACAATAGATTTGAACCACATAATATGTGTATTTAATAATTCTTTAAGTTTTATACAAAGAATGCTAAAATTATGGTTATACAAATAGAAGTTGGTAATCCTACCATAAATCTATATATATATATATATATATATATATATCTTTAAAATTAAAAGCTATTAAAAAATATCAATCTTTCAATGCACTTGATAAATAATATTAACTATAGTATTGTATATATTTGCTAATGAGTTGAATTTGTATTATTGCCACTGAATCTGGAGAATCTGATTAGTCGCATGATACATATTGTGCTTAAGTGCCAACCATTGCACTATTTTGGCACGGTCAAACATCATTTTTGTACATAACATCAGGGGATTTTTGTATTAGCTTCAACAATATAAGGCATAGAGAAAAATGTGAGGATAATCACTTGGTGTAGCAACTACAATGTCAACTATGTCTTCTCATGCACTTGAAAGCCAAAGCCAAGTACCATATCTAATTCCATGCGCTCTTAATTCCTACACTCTGCTTCCTTCATACATCCTTCATAATCCAAATTGGAGTTTTTTAATTAGTAATAATTTTTTAAAATTAATAAATATCACAATATTATAGTTTAGCAAAAAAATACACAATATCACATTCGATTTTGTAAAGTATGTTGTGCAATTATTGCCATTAGATCAAATGTTTTTTTTGTGACTTTTCAAGTAGTTGCATAATATTAACTTAAGCAACTAATTACAATTTTGATCTACAAGGCTAATCCATGATGCATAGAAATTATTAAAGATTATATATAGTCTAAACATATTAAATATTTTAATATTTAGCATGGTTTTGCACTAACATATATATATATATATATATATATGCACAACTCAAATATTATACTTATTTGAACAAATTAATATTATATATGAATTTAAACATCTTTTATTGCATAATCAAAGTAAAGTGAGTAAAATTATTTCGATTTTTCCCAGCATTTGAAAGCCAAAAATTCGGAGTCAAAAAGTTTAAAACCGTGATGTTCACTACATGCGACTCAAAACACATATCTATCTCTAATTCAAAATACACAGACCTCTCGCTTCATTTTACAGCATTCTTCCAGAGCTGAGAACGCCGATGCATTCTCGAGTAGCAAAGCGCACAAAACGCCGAGAATCACCGACAGCAGCAGCAGCAGCCGTGACACGAATTGCGAGCCCGGAAAACGGAGCATTCAATTGATGCAGAATAGGGCAAAAAGCCACTATGAGAGAATGCATGAAGCTCCCCACATCGTGAAAGAATCGGAGCCAAGAGCAAGCAAGCTTATCAGCATCACCAGAGCTGGAAGCTGGGCGGTGAGAGTGTGTGTCTAGAAGTCGGTGCTGGTGGCGTTGTCGAAGTCGGCATCCTTGGCCTTGGTCTTCGACGCCGAAGCATCCAACTCGTAGTGTTTCCTGAAGGTCCTGGGCAAGAACACTGGGATTAGGAAGAAGAAGAGGTTGAAGGCCCACACGATCAGGTTGGCGATGGCCAGGTACCTGCCCATCAGGATCCAGTGGTGCGGGGAGATGGGGCCTGCTGGGTCGGCGCCGTGCATGCCCATGCTCTCTGAGGCCCCCTTGTGGAAGTCCACCTTCACCCACTCCACGATGGTGAACAAGCGCCGGACGTTGTAGAAGATGGGCACCAGGGCGCGCGTGGGCAGCGACACCCTGTTGTTCCTGAAGGTGACGTTCTCTGTCAAGATCTGGCAGCCGAGGAGGAACAGATGGGGTGCAGTGGCCTTCAAGGCTCTCTGGTCGCCGTGCACGAAGCTGCCGAGGACGTAGCTCGAGGGCGCCACGAGACCGACGCCGGCCGCGAAGAGGGCGTACTTCTGGACCCAGTTGCTGCCGGCCATGACATTAGGAGGGGGTCCTTTCGTCACGGGCTTGAAAATGGTGGCATTCATGAAGGCCAGGTAGAGCGTTGTGAAGGCCACAAATGCGAGGTCCTCTAGCGGGACCAGTCCACTTGAGGCGAGAGTAAAGACGAGCGTGATCACGTGGATTTGTATGATGGAGAAGTATCTTAGGAGGCTATGGCTTTTTCGTCGCTTCTCTGCTTCCTCCTGCACACACACAGAGAGCATAATTCGCTTCGACGCTGTGGCTTACATGCGTGGGATTCTTAAGATCTTTACATCACTGGGATACATGAATATAGTGAAACGATGACAAGCTTCCAGTTGTGTGAAAACTGCAGCGAGATTCAAAAACCTACATTCCGCCTAAAGAATCATAAACAACAATCTTCTTGCATTTACAAAGCGCTCTCAATTGTGCACAAAAGCCATATCATTAGGATGAATCTTCAAACCTTAAAACCTCCACTAGTTGCGGGTAATCATGCAGAATATTTTAGGGTACGAAGAGGGAGAATCGTTACCTGTGCAACGGATTTGGGTGCATCGGGGTCCACTCTTGAGTCATAATCCCGAATCTTATCTCCAGCAGGCAACACCTCAGCCATCTTCAACCTTCAAATTTCCTTCTCAGTCCGAAGCTTATCAAACAAATACCAAGATCCGCTACTGTACTACAGAACTCCCTTAAAGCACTGATCAGCTCCCAAATCTAAGCTCAGGAAAGCAGTCACCTCTTGCACCAGAATCGATGTCCTACTCCAAAAACAGGACGCTACGTGAAAGAAATGAAAGACCGGTGTCGGGTCGCACGGTCGAGGACAAATGGGGAGGGTGCTCATAAGGGAAGACTGGATTGGGCCTTTCGGGCGCCACTTGTCATCTTATGATCATAACTACAGCTAACATCTTCGGGAAACATAGCAGGTGTCGAGCTGATGTTGAGCCATTATGAGCCCCCAGCAGGTACATGTTGCCGACTGGAGTTAGATGACAGTTCTACCCTGCCTTTTTCCACCAATTGGATACATGTGTAAGCCTCAGAACAGCATTTTGTGTCATATAATGGAGATCTCGTGAGTAGCGGGCTGAATTGTAGTCCCTTTTTCACGTGCTTGAGATTGGGGTGGATTGTGTTGCTGCATTTGATGTTGGTGAATGAAGAATATCGGTGATTTCCTTAACCTCTGAAAAATCTTGTCTCTGGATCGGCGCAAATGGCCCAAAAAATTGCTAAGGATTTCGAATTTGCAGGGTTTTAAATTACGAAAAGCGTCTGCATACCGCACTTTTGTTCCATGGAAGTTATTTGATGAGATGAGCAGCAAGATGCGTGTGGGCATTTGAATCTGAAGGATTCAGTATGAAAGGAAGTCATCTATGATGCGATACATCCTATTGGATTCTTTAAAATTAAATTCTCTTTTGCTGGTTTTGCGACGGAAATATTAAGTTCTGGGGCGTAACGAGGGCATTCAAGGTCTTGGCGCACTGCGGATGTTCACCAAAGCTTTCACCTAATGAGAGGTCTCAGGTGAGTTTCTGCAGGAACGTCTTCAAGTTGAACATGAACCCTAGCTTGTTTCAGAGCCATGTTTTGAAAATGGGAAATTCCCGGGAGATAATATTTCAGAATGTAGGTTACACGACAATAAACACGACCTCAAGCCTTGCTTTGACTGCACTGTAATGTATACTACCCCGATCCTTTTGACAATGAATGTGCTGCAGCATACCTGGGTAGTCTACGGCCATCTGCAAGTGCTTGAGATTGGATTCAGACCATAAATACATTATTCACAGCATCATGGAGCTATGTCATTCCATATTGCTGGTCTCGGTGAGGTATTTGCGCATTAGTGTCTTATTACCCTCCTCGAGTTGCTGCCAAGCACATCACCAGTATATTAGTGTACCACAAAACCACATTTCAATTTATGTCCACTCCTTAGTCTGTTCATATGTTGTGCATGAAAGATTTTTATCATCTGATTCATGAAATTCCCATGTCTACCCATATAAGAAAGACAATTAAAAAATCAAGGAAATTAAGAGAGCGTACTTTAAAAGACAAGCTTTGGAGATTGTCCCATTCAAAGTCCTGATTGGCATATGCTGATCTAACCTGTAATCTCAACACCACAACATCTCAGTCACAGCGACGAACAACCTGCTCGCACAGCAATTATCCTGAACACACTTGTGATAAGGTCTTCGAAACAAGGGTAAACACATGGTTCACGGCTTCCACAACAACTCTTTCAGTACAGGTCATTGAAGAAATAATACTCTGTGAACTATATATCATCAAGACAATCATCAGAAATTGCGAAGATTAGCAGTGGAGGCGACTCACTTCCATGATGCGTAGAGCTACAAACATTGAGCCGAAAACGGGTCCAGAATATATCATTTCCAACAATGACACAATGTTAGAGGATATCTGCCAGAAAAAAAATTATACAAACATTTTTCTGGTGCAGTGTAAGAAGCCGAACTCTACCAGTTCGATTCCGTAAAACTATACCACCCGATTCAGAACGCGAGACTCCTGATTCAGCGCTGCACTACGTAAGAGGCACCGAAAGCTTCACTTACCCAAGTTCTTATGGCGGAAAGACTCTCGCATCAATGCTGCAATGAACTTGTCACCATCATTCAGTGGCATCTTCTCCAAAAACTCCATCAGGTCTACATATGCTTCTTTGTTATAATCCTGCGCAGCAAGAATGGAAGCTCATATTCGAAGTTGTATTATGTGTGACACACTGAAATTTCAGAGAATCTCCCCAAGCCTTGTATTGACCTTTTACCTATGATGACCATTCGCACTAACTGTGCAAGGGAGGAGGAATAACCTCAAGCTGGGATGCTACTATTTTGACTGCAACATAAGTAAAAAAGTTGTGCAATGCTGCAGCTGCTTTGGCTTCAGGAGACGCCTCCCCAAACCCTGTCAACTCGATAAACCAAATGTAAGCAACCCAAAGAAAGACACAAAACCATGATCATGATCTTCACACTTCAGGTAATGCGCAGGCTCCTCTCGACAACTACGTTACCATGGACAAAAATTTAAAACCCTTTACTTCATTTATTGTGTTTCTGAAGAAGTTGAAAGCCTCTAAATACCTGGCACAAACATTTTGCTGCGGATAGGACTAACATGTCCAAACCTAAAATTCGGCCGACTTCTATTCTTCGGCAGAAGGAACGTCTTATTGCAGAATAGGACAGACGCTAAACCCGTGGCATGCGTTCCCCCCAGTGTCCCACCAACACATCCAGCACTAGACGATTTTTCCCACCTTTCTTGCTTGCTTGAGTACTGAGTCTGGCTCAAACTTCGAGCATTCGCAATCGCACAACACCCAGTGCTTCTGATAGTGGCTGCCATTATCTTCACATGTAAAATACACATCAGCGATGTGGATACTGTGAGTAAACGTGAGCACTTACACAGTTCCAACCTCCGATATATTCTCTTAAATACATCCCTTTGGCAAAATAAAATTGCATTATGTATTTCTAACATCAGTAAACAAATGACAAATAGTTGACCAAATATTCACAGCCCAATTTAGTCTTAAACCCCACAATGTAAAGTGATTTGAATTTCTTTGAAATACTGATAGATTCTTCACAGTCATTTAAAAAAAAAAAAGCGTCACACACACACACATTCTCACTCTCAATCGCAGTAACTCTGTATTCTAACTGGTACAGTATGATTTTTCTATTGTCTCTAGACACAGACCACATTTTAACTCAAAGAATTCCCCTAAGGCTCACTAACGCCCCATCGAATTCACGCACCATTTCAATCACCCACCAAGAGAATAAGCCCAGAGATCGGAAAAGCACTCGCGCAAATTGGGTTCTCCTACCAGCACACGATCTTCAGAATCAGGTTCAAAACACCGCGAAATTGAGTCACCGCGGCGATGCCACCCACCGGGATCTGTAGAAACCACCCACCCAGTGCGCAAATCCAACATTGCAGTGCAGTGCAGGAGGCGCAGCATCATTGAGGGGGGGGGGGGGGGGTTCACCGCAATTCAGCGACGCGTTCAGTGGCCATTCGATCCCGGCGGCTCTCCATGACCTCTCGTCCCCGGCATCTTCATCTGCTTCATCCGTATTTGGATGAATGAAAATTGATAGATGACGAACCGGAAAACGCCATGGTTTCCATCGTCGCCGCCATTTCGTCCACCACCATCCATCCCTATTGTGATTAGTATTCATAATCAATATTATGACAATTTAAACAATTGCCAAATTCATCATCTTCTACTAAAAATTCAAATTATTCAAAGAGAAATGCAAGTGTCTTTAACCAAAACAAAAACTAACAACTACCACTTTTTTAAGATATTGGATGTACAAAGACTCAATTTACATCTTATTGTATCTTTTTTCTTGTTTAACCTTAAAAATTATTGTTTCTTTTAAATGTTTATTTTGAGGTTTTGATTATGTCTCAATTACTTCTTATTAGCTTTAATATTTCATTCACCTCAATTGATGTTTTATAATTTTTGATACTTTCTACTCAAATGCTCTAACTTTTGTATTTTTAGATTGTTCTTCTATGGAAATCTATCTATTTTCATTATTACAATAATATGTATATATTTTTATATAAATATATATATTGGACTTTGTAATGCATCTTGCTTGGTCATTACACATATGATTGATTGAGTTACAGATCACCGCCGGGAATCGTCGGTATGATACGTAGTGGCGAGTACGAGAGGCATTACGAGACGGACCCGAGAATGGGTCGACGGCAAAGAAGGGTGTGCAGAGTCTTTGTTAACGCGACATAAGAATCAAGCTTCGTCGATGCTGGATCGATGTCCCATCGGACTCAGAGGTGAAGAATCACATAACGGGACGCCGTCGTGGCGAATCGTAGTGTACCGACAGCTTAGCTATGGCGCATTCCATGTGAGATTGCAGGAGGCTGGAAGAGACTGGACGACGAGAAGGAAGAGGGGCCAGCAGGATTTCGCCCACGGGGTCGGAGCGAGTTGCGTGGAGAATCTGAGTCGCGTTGTGAACATTGCAGATCCTGATGTAAAAGTCGCCTGTGTCACGAGCTCGGACCCCACGAACTAGTCTGCTCTAGTTCGAACGCCGATGTTTCCACCAGCGCACGTAAATCCCTCTCATTAGGGCTTTGTGCGTCAGTGGGAATTTTATCCGAGGTGCCCCAAGTGTTTGAAACGTGTCGTCGTGTGTTCGGAGTCAAAGCTGAAGGCGTCCAAGGCTGTCAGAGCCCGTGGTCCAGAATCTCGCTGCTCAGGTGGAATTTTTGTATAGTTAAATGACTTGGTTCGGAGATGTTGGTGACCATGTTGGCATTGGAAGTGGCGATTCCATACGCCATGCGCATGAAAACTAACTCACTGCATGTATTCGCACACAGGATCTTTCCACTATTGAGTTTCTGTTCAGTGACAGAATATCTCCTTGTTGTTCGAGGTTTGAAGGCGCTTCGTCGCAGCTTTTCATTTACGGCGTTCGTCGTACTTCTTTGCTGGGAGATAGTTTTGACATGTGATTCGCGACTCTGCGTTGCCTGTGTTGCTCAGCAATGCACGCCATGGCCGATGGTAGTGCTATCCCGAGGCTTGTGCCCTTACTTTCACACCGGAGTACGTGCGAGAAACCAATGGAAGGACGACGGACCTGGAGGAGCTGCATGCTGGTGGCGTTGCTCGCCGTGAACGTTGCGCTCGTTTTGATATTGGCTTCCTTCTATGGTGACAAGTGGGCTACGCCTGGAATCCACAAACTGGTCGCTCCACAATGGGCTGAGGCTATCCAGACGGCAGAATTGGCAGCCTCGAAATGATACTCTGGTAACGGCAATGTGTTCGTGGATATCGTGGATGTCAACGATGGTGGAACTGCTGCGTGCGAATGCAATGACTGCTTCACTGGCCCGGATTGTTCTACCCCTGTTCGAGAATGTCGTGCCGACAGCGACAGGTTGCCTTCTTGCAGGATAATTTACTGAAAGGACGTTCCTATTTCCTGCATGGACATATTTTAGAGTTGTTTTACTTATTTATTTATTTTATCAGATAGATCGCTGAGCACTGACAATTTGAGGTTCTGGCAGTGGAGACCCTCTTCTGTTCGAAGCCTACTGGAGAGCAAATCCGAATTTGGGCACGGTGGTGATTCCAGGCTGGTATCGAATGAGCTACTTAACCCGAGACAATGCTGCAATTCTCTACACTGATGCACTTCTCAGAACCATCAGGGATCTCCATGGCATGGTTGGAAATGCTGTCACGAAGGATCGCTACATTGTGGTAGGAACTGGGTCGATGCAACTCATTAATGCAGTTGTTCACAGCCTCGCCCTTCTGAACTCTGACAGGGTCTCCTCTGTTGTGGCTAAGGCTCCTTACTATTCGGTACACTATGAATTACCCAACTCGTGAATTGGGTGGAGCAACATGCCTTTAATTCGGTTTTCATTACCTTGGAAAGCTTCATTCTGTTTGATCAATTAAATCAAAGAACTAATCTCGATTGGATGCCTCCTAATAGACAACCTTCAACTTGCATTTTTCCTCATGCCTTGTTCGCATACTTGTTTTGAGAACGATGCACATGTTGAAATGAGGGGTCGTTCACGTGCAGGCTTATAAGGTGCAGACAGAGTACCTCGATTCACCCCTTTTCAATTTCGCCCGAGATCCTGCCCGTTTTACCGGGAATGCGACAGGTCGAGGTGCTCAGATTGAGCTTATTGCGTCTCCGAATAATCCAGATGCACAGATTCAGGAAGTGCCACAAAACATCAGTGAACATGTAATATATGACCATGCGTACAATTGGCCTCACCTTTCTCCAATCACGAAGGCTTCTGACCATGATATTATGCTCTTCACCTTGTCGAAAATAACAGGACATGCTGGGAGCCGAATAGGGTAATGCAACACCCCCCGCCTCTTTATTTTATTTTATATATTTTTTGTTCTTATTGCTTAACTTCCTCGTGATAATTCCATATAATGGAAATGTCGTGTCGCTCTTTTTGCTTCTGAAGTCATTATTGTAGTACTTAGATTGTGTGTATGGGCACCGTTTTCAAGCGAGGGTTTTTGCACGCTTACTCTTCTCTTTATGTACGCAACTAGACTCCACACTTTTGAAAGTAACATGTGTTTTGTTTTTTTTTGTTTTTGCATTGCATTGCATTGCAGTAGCACTGCTCTGACTTCAAGTTCTGATTTGAAGCAGGTGGGCAATCATCAAGGATTATAACCTGTATCGAACAGTGCAATGGTATGTGGTACTTAACACGTTAGGAGTGTCGCATGAGTCACAACTAAGAGCAACACAGCTCATCCGCACCATCATAAAAAGTTATTCCGAAGGCATTCGAAATGAAAAAGGACTCTTCCATTATGGCCGTGAGGTCTTGGAGTCTCGCTGGGCTACGATACAATCCATCCTCAAAAACTCTTCTCGCTTCTCTCTGCAGGAGTTGAAGCCTGATTACTGCTTCTTCTTTGCTCAAATCGTGGATCCTTCTCCAGGTGCGTGATCATCCTTACGTACTCCATGCCAATTTTATGTTCAATTCAGAGTCCAAGGATTCCCTTCGCCCAAAAATATAATCTCAAAAACCCCTGGAGAATTTCGGTGTCAGTTTTCTTTCCCTTTTCGAAGGTTACTTTTAATCGAATATTTTGTAGATTCTTAGCGCTTGGAAGCTGCTGGAGCACCATGAAAAGTTGATTGAATGTGATTGAATGAAACCCACAGGTCACGCATGGATTCGCTGTAACTATGAAGAAGATGTGGATTGTGCTGCTGTGATGCTGTCCGCTGGTATTATTGGTCGTAAATTTGGTTCAGGCAATCGCTTCGTGCGATTGTCTCTGCTCAAGCGCCGGTCGCATTTCGAGATTTTGACTGCTCGGCTAACCAAACTCGTTGCTCAAACATCATCTTCTACCTAAATCCAGAGATCCTCCCCCGTTTTGGCCAACGGATTCATAGCATCACTTTTTATCTTGAACGTCGTCATTTGTTATTTTTCCATGCTTTTGTCTAGTTTGTTTAAGTCGAAGCGGGGAGGCAAAATGTCAATTGTTGTTGACACCCATGCACCCTATTAGCTGGTTATACCTACATGTCAATTTTTCGTTGACGCCCTAAAGCGTGCACACCTCATGCACGCTACACGGAAGCAGGTAGGTTTATAATCTTCGTTAAATAATTCCACTGTAATTTTAATGTACCCAAGAGTGACTGGTAGTCCAGTGATGGTCAAATCAATTTCCCTCAACGACTTGGTAAACGTGAGGGGGATGGGTGTACAATTGCAGCTGAACTTGTCTGCTGCTTTGTGCCTATGCAAGCAGTCGGAGCCATTTGGTTTGTGAGGACCAGACTCTCAAATTGATATTCAATCCAATAATGAGAACCATATCCAGGTTCATGATACTGTAATGCGTACCATCTTCTGCTTAGATTCTAGATGGATTAGCCCCCCATTTTCTGCCTGGTAAGAATTTGACTTTTTAATGGGCCATGGACCCTAATATGCTCGTATCATTCTATAGAGCTGAATAAAAGTGTGCATACTGTAACAGAAAATAAAGCATTTTCCCTGAGGTACCTGTTCCTCTCTAGTGGTGAGAGTTCTCTGCTAGCGCCGCCATTGCTACACAGTAAATGGACTGCGTAATAAACAATCCGTAAGGATGGAATGAAAAGATTGTGATGCACACCAAGGAATATTGTGGACATTTTGAGGCAATAAACCTGGACTTGAAGTGTTTGTCTATTCAGCATGCGAACTTGGGCCTCAACATGACGCATGATCTTCCACTTCCACTCGCTCTTTGCGAGCCTCCAGAAAGGCCCCTACCTTCTATTGCCGTGGCGTTGAGCTTTCAGTTGATTCGTTTGAATCTGTCTCGGACTGGGAATCAATATTTGGAATCTCGTCGGAGTTTCGAACATTGTCGCCATTGGCTACGTCATTCTTAAACACGATTGCGACAACAGTCGTTTCAGGCTGAAGAACCAGTGACGGGAACTTCCCTCTGAAACCTCCGGACTCACACCTTCAGATTCAATCGTCAATGGACCTTATGAATACATAAAACGGCACATGTAACAGATTGCTGAGTGTATTAGAGAGTATGCAGTAGATGCGATACGTGTAACAAGTTGAGCTGGAAGCGATTAAACCCAGCACGGACTTGTAAGGCAGGAGCACTTGTCAGTACTAAGACTGTAAAAAAAATAATCTACTAGCTCTTACTTCAGAATCACTCACTGATGCACCCACATCAGCCTTGCGAAAGTTGTGACGATGAATGAGATTTGTCGGCAGGCGCCGGCGACGACATCGAATCTAAATCGGCATCTGATCTCCGAACATTGCATGGAACCGTGTGCTGGACACAAGCACAACCACACGTGCTGCAACATGGACCAGCGAGCAATAGTGGCATTCTGCTCAGTTCGGCTGAGAAGAAGCGCAACGCCAAACAATCCAGGCTGCTTATCAGAACTCGCTCAAGGGCTGGGTGTTCCTTGTTGATCGATTATGTTACACAACCGCCAGTTCACATGCAACGCTGAATTACGTAACAACATTAAGCTGATATTCTTTCAAGTCTCGTGAAAGCCGAGAGCCCTCTCTAGAAGCAGGAGAGGTGACGAGCATTTAGGGACTTGGTCATTAACTTCAAATACTACTATATTATGAAGCATAAACTATCGATCAAACACACAAATATGGCAGAGCCTCGCACTGATGAAATAAACGAGACTTAAAAAAGAAAGTCAAGCAATAGCAAGGCAGACGTTACAGCAGGCGTTCCAGCAAATCCGTCCATAGTTCAAGAAGGATCGCAGGCAAAGCGCCACAACAGAGAAACAAACCCTTGATCAACCTACAGTCTTTGTTGACCAAAACCCCATTCTTGCGAGCAAGACCAATACATAATGTGGATCTAATACCAACAAAGTGAGACGAAGCAGTAGATCTCGAGATCGGCGACTACGACACAGCATCTGCAGATGATACACGGAATTATTTTTTTGTGTATACAGAGGCTCAAAGAAACAGAAGTAAGTGAAGGATAAGCAAAAGAGAATTCAATCCAAAATGCGAATGGAACGAAAGAATCCTCAGAACATAATCCTACCCAAGAAATGATTTACTTAGAATGTCTACAAGATGGACGTTGCAGGCCACTCTTGTGTAGCAGCTTCCCAACACCCTACCGTAAAGCCAAATCCAACCCTAGACAAGGCTCCACCCCTACTGGCAACCACTGTCATACCTCTAAGCTCTTGATTATACCAGATTATCCCTCACACCTGACAATTAATTAATTTTTTTTAGGATTACCAATTTGTACAATGGAGATCACTCTGAAAAGGAAGGTCGAGAGAGGACTAGGTACAGCAAGGAACCAGCTGCAGCATGTGCATCTCAGCATCAAATCCGAGACCTGTTGCAGCTCCTGGTAGAAGCTCCCCATCAACCATGCCCCCAAAGACAAGGATGGAGTGGCCGGAACCAAGAGCGCACGCGCCGTGGAAGGATCGTCTGCTCGGGAGCTGGCCCAACTGTTTCAGCTTCTTCCAGAACCGGGGCGCCAATTTGTCTTCGCTGAAGGGTTTCTGGGGATAACTGGGCATGCACGAAGACCCACAGCCGACCTGTACGCCAGCCTTGGGGTCAAGCACCCAGGCGTCTCCTTTGCGTGACCTACGGGCATCCTCGCCCCCGAAAATCAAAATTCTTTCGCCAAATATAAGGGTGGCGGAGTGGCCAGCGCGAGGAGCTGGCCGATCGTGAAGCGGTTGAAGTTCGCGGGGACGCAATTCAACCCATTGTGGATAAGCGCCCTCCATGTCGAGCAGCCAGACGTCGTTCAAAACCTCGAAGCGTATCCCGCGCCCACCGAAGAGAATCATTTTCCTGCCGCCTATCCAAGTCATCGTATGGCCCGATCGCGCAGGCGGAGAGGCCGAAGTGATCACGTCATGCCAAGTAGGGGGAGACTCCGACAAATCCAAGACCCAGGTGTCGCCAAATCTGTTGCCCTCCGTTCCAATTCCACCGAAGATGACCACCCTCCGATCACCGCCGCAGCACCCTGCGTGAGCTCCGCGAGGAGGAGGAGACGTCACCACATCAACCAACTCCCAGGCTGGGCTCTCGTACAGGTTCCCGCTACCCAAACCCCTGTTGATCCAAGTGTCGCAATGACGTACTCCTTGATCGTTGATTCCACCGAAGATCACTATGGAATCATTAACAACTGTGCAGCTCTGTCCGAATCGTCCAGGCGGACTACCATTGTTAATTCTATGCCAAACAATACCTTCTGAGATCTCGGTAGGTAAAGAAGCAACCCACGTATCGTCGAGGTGACGACCTCCCTGGCACCCTCCTCCATAGACAGATAGATTATCTGCAACAGTGTAAAGAGAGTGTGACGCTCGCGGCGCAGGCCCCACATCCCCTTGCTCTACTTTACGCCAGGAGCCAGCCTTCAACATCAGCATTTGTCTGTAAACCATCTTCCAGCCACCCCTCTCTTTCCCGTGGTTCGGCCATGTTTGCACTGCTCTTCTGCCCCATTCACGAACGCAAATATATGCCCACAAGTTGTCGCTATCTGCAATTTCTCTGAATCTCTTACATGTGAGTCCAAATGCAATCAGTGACTGCACGGGAAGGAACTGCAAGATGGCCACTAGCTGATCTAGGCTAAGGGAGGCGAGGCCGCAGCCTGCGGGGGCTGGGTTGTGCCCATTGTCTTCCTGCACCACCTTCATTACCTCGTTCAAATCATATCTCTGCAAACACATGAGAATAACTTTCGATCTTCCACAGAAACCACGGCAATAGCCTCTTTACTGTCTCCCTGTGAGGATGTCACGACTCAAACTTGCTCCAACTATTTCCTTGAAAGTGTAGAATCCCGCGCACTTCACTTTCCTGTGAGCGAAGAAAATGCCGAAACTGCTTTTTCTCGAGTTTCTCATCGGTGTGAGAATGTCTTATACCTACATTTACTTCCCCCTCCGAAAGCTCATGATTGAACAAACAGTGTCTTGTGGAAGGTCCTCTTGGGGTGAGGTGCATCCGTGTATCCACCACTCGAATTTCACATCAATAACGTCCCTATAAGTCTATGCAGACGAAGAAGAATGATCTACCACTAACGCTCCAAAAAGCCTTCGAAACTCTGAGACACTTCTAACCCTAACCCTGTCCTCCTTCCTCCTCCAAGCTACTCCCTCGGCGAATCTATTCATATGCCCCTCTGTACATCAGAGAGACAACACTCGTCCCTGAGACTCTACAAGTAACGGTCATCTCTATTTAGAAAGAACTTTCGAAAACCCGGGCGAGGAGTCTCCTCGACTTGTTCTCCTTCAATGTATCGAGACATTTCTCACATAGTCCCCCTTCTAGATCTCACGCTCTCTCGGCCTTCGCTCACGTCCAACCCAAGCAATAGACTACGTCGATCAGAGATCCTCTCAAACCCAAAAAAAAGTTGCGCAGAGTACATGACCTGCGAGACGACCCAAATGACTGAAAGCCCGCATCTAGGTCCCTCCTGTGGCAGGCAGGATAAGAGCTGCCAGGTTCCAATCAGACAACGCAAAGCTCTCTGCTGATGATCATCGAAATAAGTGATTTCAGAGCGGCAACCTGCCGTGGATTGGACAACTTGCCGTGCAACTGACAAATACGCGCCGGGTGCTCCAAGGTCGAGCAGAGTGGTGGGGACGGAAGGGAGAGCATTATAAGCTTCGTACCGCCATAGCCGAAGCAGCAGCTGCAACAACGGCGACAAGGTCATAAACACGGTCCGCAGGGGACTCCACTGCCGAATCCGAGACTAGTTTAACAAAGACCCCACCAGGACAATATCCCCCCATTTTCTAACACGGCATGGCCTGGGCCAATCCCTTATGAACGCTTCCGTCGGATGTGGATGATATCTGGCCAACACGAAGATGCTCGTGTTCAGAGTTCACGAAGCCACTACTCTCGCATGCAGCAAGAAAGGCAATCGGCCAGTGATGCGAAAGAGAGTGATATCACTCTACTGCTCTAACCATTCATGAAAATGCAAATGATTTCCTTGAACCAGTCAACACACTAACAAGCAATCAAAAAACTCCAGGCAAATGCGAATTGTTGCCCACAATTTCTATTGCATTCATGTGAGTAAAGCTCGTTTCTTCGGCGATGAGCATCGTTTTAAGGCAAAACGAACCCACTCAGTCTTCTGAAATTCGAAGCTCACAAGTCAATAATCTTGAGCAGGTAAATTCAATGAATCTCTTCGGTCTAAATCCTTGCCCACCACGTCGTCGCTTGTTCTGTTGCAAGAGATTGGCGAAACGATTGCTCGAGAAGCAACCAACCAGCACTCTTCGCTACCAAGTTTCACCCAGATAACTATTTCTGACTTGGGTCGTTTCCGATTGGTTGGAATCCTGTTGCGCTGCGAGATCTGTTGCTTCAGCAAGCCTAATCACTTGGTGCTGACACAGACAGGGTACATGAGCGAGGCTTTTGTCGCAAGCTCCCGTAGACCCGGCCTAACACACACACATATATGTACTCATGTGTTTACATGCATGTATGTCCATGGCGAACTTGGTCAGTGGATAGGAACATGAAGAAAAAATTGAAACCCTCTGGTTGGCTACACATGCATGCGAAGATCGCCTGGGTGCTCCTATTATTAGCTCTAAATGTGGGTCATCAAATCGGATCGCTGAGACCCACACACATTTTTCGATTTAGCCCAAGTGGATGCCTGACTCAATGGCGCTAACAGACCCATACTGGCTCCTCACTGTCAGCATACCGTAAGAGTCGCTTCTCCACTCCATGTCGAACAGGTGTTGGAGCCGTGGCTTGATCTAGCGGCCGCGACTTGATTGGCTCGAAGGTCGGCGAATCACGAGCCGAGAACTGGGAGCAATAACTATGGCATTGACCCTCGGTTTAAGATAGAAATAGATAGACTGGAACGTTTGAGTTAGCCAACTCTTCTTCTCGGGAAGAAGTGTTGGAGTTTGATACAGGCCTTGGATCACCATCCTAATAATATGACTATCGAACTCAAACGCAGGTTTGGTGTAAACTATTCCCTAAAATGGTGACCATCCCACTCTTTGAGCATCGCTTGCTACTCGATGAATTGCAGCAGAGCCAGCCACAATGTCGCAAGAAGGTGATTCCTTAAGTTGAGCAATTGCATCTCTCTGATTCTACTTGATCAATGAAGGTCCAGACTCGCTTATCTAACCCACAAAGAACTCGTCATTTTGATGGTATCTTCCACTTAGACAGCCTTTCAGCAAAGCGCATCAAGATTTCACGCTCTAGGTTTCCCGGATAATCCAAAACCAATTGCAACTCGTCGCTGAAATCTTCGGAGTTGATCAAACGTGCTCTTAGCAAAACTACTAATCGTTCCAGTGTCAGTTTGAGTTAGCCTTGGCAAAACTACTAATCGTTCCAGTCTCAGTTTTGCGTTAACAAAACAGGTATGAGATTGTCTTGCTCTGCTTTGCTTCCAAATGCACTTATTGTGTGTATGTCGAAGCCCAATAAGTCAACCTCGAATGCAGAATACCTCCACAACCAGTATCAGTCATGAAAACTGGCAGTATAAAGCAAAAAACACGATAGTTTAGGGGATGGCCAATTCTCCACAGGTTACAATAACAAACCAATTAATGAACCAGTTTACAAATACAAAGGCAGTAATCTGAAGAGGAGATGAGTGCAGATTTGGATTGCTTAGTCTTGCAAGCAATCTAGAATGGCGCTCAGTCACGGTTGTTGGCAATGAAACCTAACTCAGAGAGCTGAACCAAAAATGCATTCGTGAAGTTAGATCATTCATGAGTTTGATCACTACGAAAATCTGAGAGTACACGAAACTTTCAACAAAGGTCGCTGGGCTAATTGGCTGGTTGAAAGATACCTTTCATTCAAACGGGGACTGCCTCGGTTTCACAAATGAAACCTCATCATCACCTATCAACCCGTTATTTCCTTTCCCAAGCCATTCAGAACACAAAGCTCCTGAGCGTTGCATCTACTCTTTTCAGTCACAACTCCTATATAATTCACGCTTCTGCTGCAACTTTCTGGACATTACTCGGCGTTCATCCTGTAGGCTGCAATCGGCTTCAAGGAAGAACTCTACTCAAAAGTAGTTCAGCTCTCAAACTCGCACGTCGATCTCTGTATCACAATTCCTGTACACGCGATCACATCCTTATGCTAAATTACTCATCCTTTAATCTACATATATGAACCATTTCGTAGGCTTCCCAATACGGCAGCTTTCCGAGTGTTAACGCGCGTCTGGCCTTGGTCTTCGAGAGAGTTGCGAGGGACTTTAGATGAGCCACACTCTTCAATTGACAATCTTTGCGTCTTTTCCTCAAACTTACACCTGGAGGATTGCCGGGCTAGTGCTTTGATGGTGAGCTCGTCCTCCTCGCTTTCAGAGTGCGCATGATGGTCATGGTAGTGTCTGTGGGAGTACTCGCGGTGCTCACGCTCAAGCCCTTGCTGGTTGTAGCCAAGGATTGAGTCATGCTTTTTATCGTGTCTATGGCTATGGTTTCTATGGCCGTGGTCATCTTCACGATGGTGGTGGCGAAGAATGGACTTGATGGAAGGCCAGAAATGCTTGTGATGGTGTCCGTGGTGGTGCTTGTGGGCCCTGTGAGGGTGCACCTCCAAGTCATGCCCCATGGTCTCGTTCAGCAAGTGCTTGTGGCGAAAGAACGAATGCGAAATGACGGACTTGAATCCAAATTTCCAGAAGTGAGGGTGATGATGGTGGTGGTGATCAGCAACATCTTCGTCATGTGGAGCGTCCACATTCTTAGAGATGTGGACATCATTGCGCTCAAAGTGAGAGTCGAATTCTTCACTGCTAACATCAGAATGGCCGCCATGGCTGTGGTAGCTCTCCTCATAAGGCTTGTGATCTCCATCCTTCCGCTCCTGCCTTTTGGATGACTCGAACGGCACGACTTGCGCGAGGGATTTGTGGGAACCATGGAACAGACCGCCGTGGGGTCTATCGAGGTGTAGCGCATGTAAGAAACTTTTCCACTTGTTGTGATGGTGGTCGTGGTGACTATGAGCCCCTTCTCTCGCAAACCTCTCCTTGAAGCTGTTGTGCCTTCGACTGCCCTTTTCCTTCACGAGAATTGGATTCGACGTAGGGCCGAAAGTCGCAGAAGACAAACCATCTTCCCTGTCGGCGTCGTGATGTTTGCACAAGTTATTGCCGTTTCGAGGAGGGATGTATCCTTCCGCGCATGGCGATTGAGGCATTACGTCAACGGAGCGAAGACGGATGTCTTCAACGCTGTCCCTCGGAACTGGCAACTTCCGGCAATGAAATCCGTGAGTAAACCGCTGAGGGAGAGCTTGCGGAACGCTGGGACGAGAAACCTGGTGCTCAGGAGAGTACACAACCATCGCACCTGGTCCTTCGGCATGATCCTCCCAGTCGCCTGTGACATTTTCAGTTCGATTACCCTTCGCTAGAAACATAACCTGGTTAAGCGCCTTCATAAGTGAGTCAACCTCGAAGGAATCCAAGAGGGTGCTGCGGCCACCCCATCTGGTCGTAAGTGCATCCGACGAAGACTCTTGTGCAATCGCATGCTGCATCAGCGCCTCGATCTTGAATCGCGAGGGCTGTCGGACAGTGAAATGGGGGTGGAAATGGGACATGCCTTCTCTGCAGTGGTGTTGGAACACGGCCCAAGCTACCGCCTTGGTTATCTCGGGGTTACCATGAAACTCCGCTTCAAGACACTGCGCCTTCTGTAGTAATCTAGTATGGATCTCTTTGACCCTTTCATGCAAATTATTGCGGTGGTTATCTATCCGCGACTGTTTTGCTTGAGATATCTTCGACGGCCAGCGTATTTCGGTTCCTAAAGACTCCATATCATGCGACGGATAATTTCAATCTAATTCCTGTCAGTTTCCTCGTCATCAAGTAAGCATCGCGAAGATCGATGCTTTCAAAATTTGCTACGAGTTCAGCTGAAAGGATTACCAGGCCGATGCCTTGAAGCACAACGTAGAAAGTCGCGTCAACTATAGCAAAGCTGCTTCACACCTCACTTCACTACAGAACTCGCTCACAGTGAACAAGGCTGGCATGACGTGTGGAACACCAATATCCGCTAAAAGCAAGATAAATTTACAAATGCAACTGAGCGAGTGTTCAAAATTTGCCGAAGCTCTTCCTAGCTACGGCAGATTTCAATATGAGACCCCTCATGAACCTGCCACGCATGTCCACCTCTGCTGCCGTCTCCACGTCAGCTTCTTGCAGGATGAAGCTTGAAACTAAATCTTGATGAATTATGCAGTCTGGGTATAACCCAGCACTGCGAATGTATGTCCCATTGGAAAACCAAGCAGCAGATAAGCAAGCTACGGTCTTGCGGAAAACTGCAGTCTTCGTGAACCCCAAGATTTTGCAGAATATGGTTGCATTCTCAAGCATCTCATACACTTAAAGTCATGACTGAGGCGCATGCTCTGAACTTGACCACATTCACCCAAACTGTGGTCCACATATCTGATTCGTACTGTCATGCAGATGCTCCTGCTGGTGGCCATATCGGCGGCGGCAAATGATCACATAGGATCGGAGCTGGCGAGGTCCTATTGGTATGTCAGGCCTTTGAGCTCGCAGTTGATGACCTGGTCCACCACCGCCCCAGGCAACACAGGACGTCCACAGAAACCGGGCTCTCATGTCCATTCTCCACACATGTTGCAGCCCAACTGGAACAAACGCTTGGCTGCCATAACTGTTCGGGAAGTCAGCTTTTTGTCAGCTTATTCGATTCCTTGTCGTTCCTCATCCAGCATAGACGGAGGAGCTCCTACAATTTTGACGGCCACGGAAATGGTACATCATTTTACTAGTACCGTGCACGCACATTACGCTTTCCGCACCAACTCCACAAACTTCTCGAGGCTGATATTTTTCCCACAATAAATCGCACGAGAGGAGAACATCGGGAAGAATTGTGATCTGCTGCTGTGGTCTGCGTCGGTGGATATTGGACCCGAGCTTGCGACTAGATACATTGTCACTGGCTTTTAAGTTCCGACCTAATGTCCTATTATAATAAGAAAAAACCACTTATCTCTACTTTTTGCATTTCCGGCGTCGTTTAGATTTACCGCGCAAGTAAATCTACGATTGCAGATGTCGCACGGTACAAGTCAAAACGCGAAGTCATTCTGTACCACAAGACTGGAACTCCAGGTTTCGATGATGCCGAGAGCCAGACACATAGAGCTCAGGATGACTTTCCAGCAACTTGTGCGATGCACAGATGTTCGGAGTGTGGGATAGATCCAAACAAACCCACTCGACTCCGGCACTAGCATCGTTCTCCCGCAGATTTCTGCAACAGGCACGGGCAATTGTTCATGAGTGGTTCCAGAACCAACGTAGTCC